CCTCCAGGCCCGAGAGCAACTGCGCCAACACTTACCCACAGGAATCCGATGCTGCTCAGGCGTAGTAGCCTGGTGATCCAGGAGATTTCACGTTTTCGTTGTTTCTGTTGTTTTGTGCGTTAGGTTTGGGGGGGGGAAGCCTATCAAACTAGTGGGTGATAGGTAATGCACGCTTTCCAATGCCCGTGCCTCGCGCTTCGGCGGCGGCATGCGCCTGCTCCGCCTGCGCCTCCGCCTGTGCCTCCTCCGCCTGCGCCTCCTCCGTGCGCGTCCTGGCGCCGCCTGCGCCGCGTGCCGCCTCCTGGCGCCGACCTCCTGGCGCCGCCTGCCGCCTCCTGCCGCCTCCTGGCGCCGCCTGGCGCCGCCTGCCGCCTGCCGCCTCCTGGCGCCGCCTGCCGCCTCCTGGCGCCGCCTGCCGCCTCTGCGCCGCCTGCCGCCTGCGCCGCCTCGGCGCCTCTGGCCTCCTCGAGGCCTCCTCGCCGCGCCGCTGCGGCGCCGCGGCCGCGCGCGCGGGCGCGGCGGAAGCCAAACGGCAGCGGCAGAAGGCAAGATCAGCAATCGAACAAAAAGTACAAACACATACAAAAACATATGTTATGTAAGCAATATCATGCAAATATCTTGCGCAACTCAAGGCAAATGCAACACAATGCATTAATTAATAAACAACTGCAGTGCACTTGTTTTTTTCAAGTCAAACGCTGCACTTGAGAAAATGAAGGATCTGGACCAGAGGGGAGGCCTCCCGGGCGCCGGAAGAAGAAATTCAGCATTTTCAAAAGAAAAATGTGTATTAGAATGGCCTTTTTTCGGCGCCGCCTCGGAACTCGATTTTCCGGCGCCGGCCGGAACCGGCTCCGGACCCGGCCCGGGCGCCGGCCCGGGCGCCGGCTCGGGCGTGCAGCCCGGGCGCCGGCGGAAATGATGCCAGCGCTGCGGCGGGAGCACGATTCGGAACGAGAGGGGCCCGAAAATGAGGCCGGCGCCTCAGCGAGAGCAGCATTTTGGAAACAAATGCAAGCGAAAACCCAACTCCGGGGAAACCTGTGTAAAAAAAACAATGCGCGGGGGGTGGGGGCGAACATTCCCAAGACGTCATCAGGGGAAGAGGGGGAGTAGTAGTATTCATATTGAGTAATTGTAAATGGAGGAGGAGGAGGGGAGAGGAGGAGGAGGAGGAGGAGGAGGAGGAGGAGGAGGAGGAGGAGGAGGAGGAGGAGGAGGAGGAGGGGGAGGGGGAAGGGGGAGGGGGAGGGGGAGGGGGAGGGGGAGGGGGAGGGGGAGGAGGAGGACGGGTCGCCTCAGCCCTTCGGAGGAACCCTCCACCTGCGCTCCACCCCTAGCGCCGTTTTCCTCCTCGGTCTCCCGGGGGGCCGGCGCGCGCCCCCAGAGGCCGAGGCTGCGGGCCTTCCACGGGCCTTGGAAGGCCCTCCTTTCAACGGGCCGTGGAGGGCCACGTCGACACTCTGCGAGCCGGGCGCGGCCAGCGAGAGCGGCCAGGGATGGGCCGAAGGGGAGGGATGCAAGGGTAACCTTGGAGAATCGCTCGTCCTCACATTGCGGGTTGACTGCAACGTCGCACCCGCGCGCGTGGTGGCCCTAGCTGAGTCTCGGAGGGGCCGCCATCCTCCAGCCTCTGTGTGGGCGGGGGGGGACGGGGGGGGGCGCTCACCGACTCGCGGCGAGGCCGCGGCGGCGGCCGCCGCCCGCCCAAGGGCAGGAGAGCCCAAGATCGAAGCGAGAAGTCGGATCTGCGATCGACATGAATCGGATCGGCGGAGATTAGCAGTCAATTCCGGAGAAACCGAACAGGCGGAAATCGGCAGGCAAGTAAGGCCTCCAGTGAGAAGCCAGAATCCAAATCGGAACCCGAAGCCGAATCGAATCCGATCGGCGTGAGTCGAGCCGGAAGAGTCGGGATAAGCCCTGCCAAGGGAGCCTGGTGAGGCGGTGTGAGGGGGGGGCTCTTGGGGTTGTCCTGGTGTTCTCCTGGCTGGCCATCATGACCATCATGAGTACGTCAGGTTCGTGTCGTGCCGACTTCGGCGTTGGTTACTGACACCGCGGGGATCGTTCAACCTTGAACGATCGGCCGTTTCCTAAACGTCCAAATCGTTCCACATCGAACGAGTCTGGGTCGCCCGCGGCGTTCAACGTTGAACGGCGCTGGCGGGGTCGCCGCCGGTCGACACGACACGAACCTACCGTAGGCAGTGGCTGCGGGGCCCGGCGGGGGCCACGAGCGAAGGAACACAGGACGACGAAAAACGAACGCCGCGGTGCGAGAGGGCAAGCCCTGCCGAAGGAGCCTTGTGCGGGGCCGCACGGCTCCGGCGCGGGCGCCTCGCTGGCCGACGGCGCCCCGCGGCCCACGTCGCTGGGGGGCGCTGGGTCGTCGGCGCCCGCCTGCTCCGCTGCGGCCTCCGGCTTCTTGACTGGGCGCCGGGCGCCGGGGGCGTCGTCGTCGGTCGTCGCCAGCTTGGCACGATGCTGAGGTAAGGATCTGAGGGGTGAGGCAAAGCTCCGAGGGGTCCCTCGGCGAGCCTCGGCCGCGAATGGCCCGTTCCTCGATCCAGATCTGGAGGACGACACGGCGGCCACGAAGGACGACGCGGCGGACAGATCTGAACGAACAGCTAGGGACCTCTGGGGACGCGCACTGGACAAAAGGAATAGGTCGGCGGACGAGGCAGTTTTGTTTCTGTAGACACTCTGGCAAGCTTGATTGCATGAAAGGCTGAGGGGGGAGGGGGGCGAGGCACGGACTCTGGCAAGTTTGATTGCATGAAGGGTGAGGGGGGGAGGGGGGCGAGGCATGGAAGCGAAACTGGACGTCATGCAAGTCGGGGCTCACTTGCACGTCTTTTCGGCCCAACGCTGTCTTGAATGAGTATCGTTTAACCGATCCCCATCCCCAGCGGCGTGGCCTGGGCCCCTCTGGCCGATGTACCCCCCTAGATAGGGATATAGGCCGTTACCTTCGGGCTTCGAGGGGTGTATCCCAAACTAGGGTGGTAATGTGGTGGGGGTCTCGAAGAGGATGGGGATGCGGATGGGGATTGGTTAAGCGATACCAGTTGAAGGGCGACCGGACAAGGGAGCGGGGGGGGCAGGCCGTGCAAGCAGAGCTTGCCTGAATCTGCCGTGCAACGAACGCCCTCAGGATGAGGAAGCAGACGGGTCCGGTCCTGGAAGAGAGAAGGGTCCTGTCTCCATGTGTCGCCGCCTTTCCCCGAAGCACGTCCAATCGGGGCCTGGTCGTGCAGGGAGGCAGAATATCGGGGCAGCCCCAGGAAGACCCCAAAAGTGTCCATGTGTCGTCGCCGCCTTCCCGAAGCACTTCCAATCGGGGCCTGGTCGTGCAGGGAAAAGCCGCGTATGGGGGCAGCCCCGAGAAGACCCCAGAAAACGCTCGGGAGGCCTCCATGGGGCCCCTAGCAAGGCCCCCAAGAGAGGCCCCTAAGAGAGGCCCCCGAGAGAGGCCCAGCAAGCAGCCTTCGACAATGGCCCCCGAGGAAGGCCCCTCGATGAGTGGCCTCCGCGACAACCATCGGGACGGGCCCACCGAAGATGAGGACGGGAAGGGTGCGCAGAGAGTGGCGGGAACGAGGGAGAGGAGCAGAAAGGAGGCAGAGAGGGAGAGGGGAGGATAAGACAGAAACCGACAGCTAGAAAAGGGAGGCCAGGGACATATCATATCGTGTCCTCCTCCTCCTTCTCTCTCTCTCTCTGTCCCTCCCTCTCTCTCTCTCTCTCTTTCTCTCTCTCTCTCTCTCTCTCTCTCTCTCCCTCTCTCGTTCTCTCATTCCGCCCGTGCGAACCTTGAAGGACCGAGGAGCTTGGCGCGAAGCGTCAATGCAGCCAGGTATACACAGAACCACGCGCGCTTCGCGCGCGCTTAAGTGCTAGCAAGCCCTGGTTGAGGTCCAAAGTGTTCTGCATCGGAAGACAACTAGTGAATCATGCGTTCCTGGTGAACTCCCCTTGAGAGTCTTGGGGAATTAATTGTTGGGCCGTCTGAAGGCCATGGTGGAAGGTCTTGGGGCCCGCTTGGGACATACGGGGGACAACGTTGGCCGTCGAACGCTCTTCATGGTCCTTGTTGAAATTCCTGTTCCGCTTTATCTTCCTTTTCGAGCGATCCATGGGCCATCCTTAGCTCCTGGGAGGGCGTGCTCTGCCTTTCAACCTCCACAGCTCCCAGGAGGGCGTGCTCTGCCTTTCAACCCCCCCCAAATGGCTTGACAAGGGCCCATGGAAGCCCATATACGCCCTAAAACGGTTTTAAAACGGAACCATGTCGGAAAACCCATCCTGCGAGCCATGTCCCAGAAAGAGCTCCACCGATGTCACCAGTTGGCAGTTTCAGATGGCGCCCCCAAGCCCATGTTTGAACATGCCTCGCACGGGTCGTGCCCTGCCAGAGGAGCTCCACATACAATCTCAAATGCGTATTCGCGCGGGGGCATCCGAATTACCCGGCACCCCGTTCACGCCCTCGTGGCTTGGCCACGAGGGTTTTCACACAGCTCCAGAGCTCAGGAGGAGCCTTGCCAGGGGGCAGTGGACATGTATAGATCTCGTCGCCCGAAACCTTGGAAAATCACTCGTCCTTCCTACGCGTTGAGCAAAGACCGACCGTCCCAGCAGTCCTCTAGGCTTACCGCGAAAATCTCTTAGAACCCCAAAATGTTTTAATAACAAAGACAACGTTCTTAGAACATACGACCGATGTGTGCAAACGACAGCCCCAGCCAGACATGTTATGAGAAGCTTTCAGAACATTGTTTGGTGGGCCTATAGGCAAGCCAGGACATTTCGCCACTGCTTGAACGCGGGCTGACTGCATCTTGATTCTAGGCCCGTCCGCTGCGACGAATGCCGCGGCTCCTGGAGGAGGAGGAGGCGGAGGCGGAGGAGGAGGCGGAGGAGGAGGAGGAGGCGGAGGAGGAGGAGGAGGAGAAGGGCAAGGATGCGGAGGAGGCGGAGGAGGAGGCGGAGGAGGCGGAGGAGGAGGCGGAGGCGGAGAAGGAGGAGGCGTGGGAGGAGGAGGAGGCGGCGGGAGGAGGAGGAGGAGGCTCGCCGCGCACGGGCTGCCCACGCTCTTGTTCTCTCGCTCCGCTCCGAGGCCCGGCGGGCCAGATCCCCGTGTCCGGTCCGAGCGCAGCGCGGCGCGGCGCGTGCCCCTGGCGGCGGCAGCCGCCGTGCACCGCCCGCGCAGCGCGGACCGCCCCTGTGCTGCTGGGGGCTGCTCAAGGTGCCCCCTGGCCAAGAGGAGGCGGAGGAGGAGGAGGAGGCGGAGGGGGAGGAGGAGGAGGAGGAGGAGGAGGAGGGGGAGGAGGAGGAGGAGGAGGAGGAGGAGGAGGAGGAGGAGGAGGAGGAGGGGGAGGGGGAGGAGGACGAGGAGAAGGAGGAGGAGGAGGAGAAGGAGGGGGAGGAGGAGGAGGAGGAGGAGGGGGAGGAGGAGGAGGAGGAGGAGGGGGAGGAGGAGGAGAAGCGAGGAGGAGGAGGAGGAGGAGGAAGACAGACCCCTCGAGGCATGAAGAAGTCCTGCCGGGAGGTTTGCCGCGGTGCTCGGCCCCAGGAATCCATCCGGCCCTCGGGGCCGTCAAAACACGACCCCGGATGAGAAGCCCGTCCCTTCGGCGTCGCGCAAAGGGAGGGCGGTAAATGGGGGATTTCCCCAAAGTGGCTCTGGCCGCAGCGCCGCGCACCTTCGTTGTCGGATAACCTGAACCCAAACACGTTTTTTTATCGATCGGGGGCGCATGTTTCACTTCCGCCAAGCTTCCGCCAGCTTCCGCCGGCGGAGGCGGCCTCGTTTTACTTCCGCCGCCCTTCCGCCGAGGAAGAGATGACAACTCCTTCGAACCTCGAAGGCAATGCCCTTTTTGGAACGCCTCAAATGGGGGGGCGGGGGCAGCGAGACCCTTCTTGGCACGCCTGGGGACACCTTGGGCCCCAAGGGTCTCGACCCCGAGGCCGAAAACAGCGAAGAACCTCCCGTCGTGACTTGTTCATGACTCGAGGGGCACCTTGGGCCAGGGGCACTTCTAGCGACACCCGACGCTAGTGCTTCTGGGGAGTGGGCAGGCGCGCAACACAACTGCACGTCGGTCGGAAGTAGGTAAAAGCATGAAGTGGGAAGGCGGATCAAGTAGATTGGGTTCAGGCCCTCCCGGAGAATAACCAAACGCAGCAAAAATCGGTCATTGAAGTAGGAAGGCGCTTGAAAGAGACTGGGATCTGGGAATCCAAAAATGCTTACTTTCAACGACGGGCGTGCAACTACGCCGGCCCCGGCCCCGCGCGGGCTGGCGGGGCAGGGGGAGACCCCAAGATCTGGGCGGTGCCTTTCTTCTCACACCGGGCTTTGGGCCCCGGGCCTGTCACAGATCGATGCGGCTCGGCAGACCCTCGACCTTCACCTGAACGGGTTTTTTTTTGCAATCCTGAACGAAGGGTTTTTTTGCAATCCTTCGTTCCGAAGGGTTTTTTTGCAATCCTAGGGTTTTTTTTGCAATCCTTCGGGTTTTTTTGCAATCCTGGGTTTTTTTGCAATCCTTCGGGTTTTTTTGCGATCCTTCGTTTTTTTTGCAATCCTTCGTTTTTTTGCAATCCTTCGTTTTTTTGCAATCCTTCGACCTTCACCTTACGCACCTTGTCAGGCGGCAGATGCCGCGCACAGCGGCGGCCGCCAGACTGGCCACGGTCGAGGCCGGCGTCGAGGCCGCAGCGGCGGTCTCGGCGGTCTCTCAGGCCGCGCCGCGGCGGCAGCTGCACTGCTGCGCGGAAGCCGCAGGGGTCCGCGGAAGATTGCAAAACAACCCGAAGGATTGCAAAAAAACCCTTTTTTGAACGAAGGATTGCAAAAAAACCCGAAGGATTGCAAAAAGGATTGCAAAAAAAGCCTAGGTTTGCAAAAAAAGGATTGCAAAAAGGATTGCAAAAAAGGTTTTTTTTTTTGCAATCCTTGGTTTTTTTGCAATCCTTCGGTCAAGGGGATGCCGCAGGAAGATGGGGTCTGAGATCAGATCGGGCCCGTCCCCCTATAGAAAATACATTGTCAAGAATATGCAAAGAAAAAATCGTCACCAGACTACCCTTCTACCATTATTGACCATGCCCCCCGCAGAGGGACAGGCCCGACGCAAGTCTGAGGTTGCGGTCCTGCTTCTTCTCGATGCTGCAGTTTTCGCAGGACAGGCGCGAAGGGAGACCTCCTTCTGGAGGCCCGGTGTCTCGATTCGTTCGGCACGTGGACGCCACCCCGGAAGTCCCGACCCTCTCCCCGAGGGCTGGCCTCTCGTCCTGAGTCGTCGTCCGACGACCCTGGGGCCCGAGGAGGGCAAGCTCCGCGTTGTCTTTGCAAGTTTTTGTTATTCGGCGTTTCGATATTGGGCGGAAGGGGGGGAAGGGGGAAAAAGCCTGGCTCCAGACCTCTGCTTAAAGTGCGACTGCTGTGGACCGTGCGCCCATTCTGGGGGAGAGACCCCACTGGCTCGACAACAGCCGAGATCTACTCCATGGGGGGGGGGTCAGGGGAGGGGTGCGAGGGCCTGCCCCGAAGGGCAGAACAACGACCACAAAACGCTCACATTGTCTCTGTTCCCTGCGTCGGAGGTCTGGGGGTTCGGACCATGGCTCGGACCTCTAGCGGCCCCTTCGGGAAGATCCGGGTATCCCCCTGCAACGCTCCTGGCGAGGCACGGCTGCTGGGGAGCGAGCGTTCCGAAGCTAGGGAAAACCTGCGGGAACCTGACGAAACTTCCGAAACAACGGGCGGCGAAATGCTCAGCCGACGTTGATCTGGAGGTAGGGAAAGGGTGTGGTGTAAAGGGGTGTGGTGCCAATGCTGGATCTGGCGAGGTTATCTGTCGTGGATGGCATCGCCATTTCCACGGTTGGCACGATTGGCACCACACCCCTTTATGCCACACCCCTTTCCAACCTCCGGAGTTGAATGCCTGGACCCCCCCTCGCGGCCGGGCAGTTGTCGCGCGCTTGCCACACACACACACACACACACACACATACGCACCCAGCGCTGCTCGAGTAGGCGAGCGCGCGAGCCAAGACCCGCGCTGAAACTGCGGACAAGAGGAAGGAGGGGAGAGGATGGAGGGAGGAGGAGGAAGGAGGAGAAGAAAGAAGAAGAAGAAGAAGAAGAAGGAAGGAGGAGAAGGAGGAGGAGGAGGCGCGAGGAGGAGGAGCGAGGAGGAGGGAGGAGCGTGAAGCGAGGAGGGAGGAGGAGCGAGGAGGAGGAGGAGGAGGAGCGATGATGATGCTGCTGCTGATGATGGTGATGATGGTGATGATGGTGATGATGGTGATGATGGTACTGCTGCTGATGATGGTGATGATGGTGATGATGGTACTGCTGCTGCTAATGATGATGATGCTGATGATGATGATGATGATGATGATGATGATGATGATGATGATGATGATGATGATGAGGGTGGTGGTGGTGATGATGATGATGATGACGATGACGATGCTGCTGATGATGATGATGATGATGATGATGATGGTGATGGTGATGATGATGATGATGAGGAGGAGGAGCGAAAAGCGAGGAGGGAGGAGGAGCGACGAGGGAATGAGGGAGGAGGAACGAGGAGGGAGGGGGAGGGAGGCGGCTCGAAGGCCGAAGGGCCGTTTCTCCTAGTACCACTCCTTCGATCGGGTGCCCGTACCAAGTGCGAAGCCTTGCCTCTCCCCAAGCCTGCCGGGCCGCCTACTCCCCCCCCCTCCTGCCGCCTACATCTAGGTCGCCTGACTGAGGAGGAATAAGAAGGAGAAGAAGAAGAAGAAGAAAAAGAAGACGGAGGAGGATCAGCAGGAGGAGGAGGAGGAGGAGAAGGGGAGGGGAGGAGGATGAGGGAGAGGGAGGGAACGATCTAGGGGCCCTCCTCATTCTCCTCCTCAACATCATCACTATCGTCCTTCTGCATTCCCCTCCATTGCATCTGTTCTGGCCTCGCAATGTGCTGATCCCGATGGGCGTGCAACGCATAAGCATCTCAGCCATCTCTCGCACGGCAAAGCACACCCTCAACAATTGTCATTGTGTTGAGGGCGCCCGCTGATGATCCCAAGCGTTGCAGATGGGTTGAGCACGTCCCTGGGTGATTGCCCTTTTGGGGGCTCTGGGGTCATTCAACGAGGAAGGGGCGGCAGGAGAGCAAGGAGAAGGGAAGGAAGAGGGAAAGAGGAGGGAAGGAGGGAAGAGGAAGAATAGGAAGGATCGGCGGTGGACAAATCTCCCTTTAGTAAACCTCCCTTCAGTGAAAACGGCCTGGGACCGAAACCGACGGACCTGGACCCGCAAACATGACGGCTGCGACGCCCTCTCGCGAACCGAAAACGGCCAATTCCTGAATCGACGTGTCAGGGTAGGAGGTCCACCAACCTCCGAAGAAGAGGGAGGGGGGAGGGAGCAGAGGAGGGGGAGAGGACAAGGGGAGGAGGGGGAGAGGAGGGACGACTGGAGGAGGAGGAAGAAGAGAGCACCCCGATCGACGAGCACGTCCACATGCATGCGCCCTGGCGGTCCGGGCCTGGTCCGGGGCACGCTCCGCCGCTGCCCGGCGCGAGCGCCCCTCGCGCACGGGGAGAGCGCCCACGGGATCCCGCGCGCCCACGGGGTGGAAGCGAGTTGCACGTCCAGGCCGCGAGGGCACCGATGTGGAGGCGTTCGCGGCCCATGGAAGGAGGGGGGGGGGCCAGGGCGCGCCAGAGATGTCAGAACAGCATCCGGGGGCAGCTCCTGGGAGCTCTTCGCAGGAGCGACCGAGGGCTACCAGGTCCGAGCAAAGGGGCCGTCAGGCATTAGGCCTGGCTAGCCCAGAGTAGGCCTAAGCGTAAGCTAGACTGAGCGGTATCAAGCGGAATTAAAGGAGATTGTGCCAGGTTGGGTCGGTTTTCCACCTCGGAAATACCAGCGCCGATGCCGGAAGAAGGAACGTCTGCATAAACATGACAACTTTCGGAAGGGGGGGGGGCCAGCGCCGAGGCAAGAAATCCGCGCGCCTCTCTCCAACGTGTATGTTTTGTGCAGTTGTTCCTCTTCGAGGTGCTGAATTCAACCTCCCAGGAGCTGCATCCTGCCAAGCAAGCCCGAGCAGCAGACTCGAGGCCCCTCCCCGCGTCACTTCAGCACCCGCAGCACGCCGCGGGCCACGTCGTAGCCGAGGTCCGAGGCGCGGTAGGGCCTCTCGCGGCCTGCCGCGTCCCGGAACCTGGCCTGCAGGCACGCGCGAACCTGGGAGGTGCATGCCCCCCCTCCTCCTCCTCCTCCTCCTCCTCCTCCTCCTCCTCCTCCTCCTCCTCCTCCTCCTCCTCCTCCTCCTCCTCCTCCTCCTATACTCGCGCCGAGATTGGCGACTGCAGGCGCAGACATCTGACCCCGCGGGCCGCGCTTCGCGCGTCGGCCAACACTGGAAACCTGCGTTGGATCTCGAGGAGGGTCGTGGGGTTAAGTCGGGTGTGTCCCCCCCTACAGGGGGAAGTTCGACGAAACATTAAAAACACACAAAAAATATTCCAAAATGGTCAAACAATATTCAAACAACAGTCCCCATACTATGTTTTACTATGTTTGAATGTTCCCCCTGTAGAGGGACAGGCCCGACTTACTTGTAGGGTTGGATGCTCATTCTGGGGACCTTCCTGGAGACACTCGCTCCACTCGTGCGGCGAAGCTGCGTCGAACGTCCGTCGACCCTGAGTCGAACCTGAGCTGGGGTCGAACTAGAGTCGATCAGATCCGAACAGATCCGTCAGGTGGGCCCCAGAAGGCCCCCCAACCCAACCAAACATCTAGATAGGGAAGGGGAGCTGGCCGAGGACGGAAAACGCAGATGGCGGGTTGGCAAAAACCCTGAATCGAAAAACCTTGCCGTCTCTTGGCAAACAACTTCTTACCTCCGCCGGCTTTCGCCGGCCTTCAGCCGGTCGACGTGGCCTCGCTTTACTTCCGCCGCCGTCCGCCGCCTTTCCACCGAAGAAACGGCAATTCCTTCGATCCTCCAAGACGAGGCCCTTTCTTGAACACATGTGTGTATATATATATATGTGTGTGTAACACAAAAAAACACACGGTTTCGGAGGTCCCTGCTGGTTTCCTGAGTCGGCGCTGGACCCTCTTCGCACCCCCGCCTCTAGAGGCCTCCTAGATGGGGTCCGAGTAGATGGGGTCGGAGGATCGCGCCGCATCGGCGATGCACTGGCGATGCATCGGCGATACACCAGCAACGTCGGCGATGCACTGGCGACGTCGGCGTGGAGAAAATCGTGCCCCACATCGGGCCGCATCGCCGATGCATCGGCGATGCGACGCGATTCGGGTCGGGCGAAAGGGGGGGATAGCAAAGGGGGGGTTTGAGAATCAGCTCACGTAGCTGATTTTCCCGGCGCCTCCCGGCGCCGGAGGCGGCCATGTATCGAGGAATGGGCCCCTCGGTGAGGCCGAAATCAGCTGCATGCAGCAAATTTCGTAAGACCCCCTTTCCCAATCACCCCCTTTCGCCCGACCCGAGCGATCCTCCGACCCCATCTGCTCCGACACCATCTGGGAGGCCTAGATCTTCGCAGCCACGCCTCGCGCCGCCAGCAGTGTGGAGAGCGGGCTTCCAGCGCCGACCCGAAAAAATACCCTGCGGACCTCTCAGCATCGGCGGCGAGCGAGGGGGGGGGAAGCGAGAAGGAGGAGGCCTTCTTTGAAGGGGCCCTGGGACACACAAATAAATACACACAAATAAAAAGGTCCCCCATATTTTCCCATATTTTTAGGTTTTTTGTCTTTCCCCCCAATTCCCATATTTTTGCATATTTTCCTGGGAGTCGACGATTAATTGTGTCTGTGTGTTTCTTTCCCTCCTGATTCTTGGAAGGCGGCGGGACTTCTCAGAAGCCCCCGCGCCCTCTGAGAAATGTTCGGCATCTTCGGGGGAGGCTTCGGAAACTTCTCAGAAGGGCGGGGGACTTCGGAGCCTTCTGGGCAGGCCCGCCCCTTCTCGCTTCCCCCCCCCCAGGCTCTCCGCCGGCAGAACGTTCATGCGCGTGCCGCGCGCCGCCTCTTCCCGGACCTCCGACGCCTTGATGATACGCTCGCAGCGCGGCCCCCCCCAGAGGTCCGGAATCCTTCCCAGGGGCCGATGCCTCCATTCTCAGCGGTTTCGCTTTCGAGGGGGCCGATGGTCCCGATGTCTCCGTTCTCATTTCCAGGGGGCCGATGGTCCTGGGACCCAGTATGAAGGGGAACTGGGACACACAAATAAATACACACAAATAAAAAAATCCCCCATATTTTCCCATATTTTCTGGGTTTTTGTCTTCCCCACCACTTCCCATATTTTCCTATATTTTCCTGGGAGTCGACGATTAATTGTGTCTGTGTGTTTCTTTCCCTCCTGACAGTGGGGGCCCCCCCAGGCGTGGAATAGGCCGAGATGCGTGCGGCTGCTCCTCGGGAGGAGGCAGGGCGCTGCCCCCGGGGAGTCTGGGGCACAGCCTCGAACGATCCCCTCCGTGCTCATGTACCTCCTGTTCCGGCAGGAGCATACACCAAGCCGTCTGGTCGACCGCGGAGCTCGGTGTGTGGAGCGCCCCAGCGCATGTACACCGAACTCCTTCGCCCAATCCATTAGTCCCATATGCCGACCACACGACGTGGTGGACACATCCCCCACCGATGCTCATATCCGGGAACCGTCTTCCCGCTCAGGGCGGCGGCCCTCTCGTTGATGTATGCGGCCTTCGCGCTGACCTCCTTGACGCGCTTCACCTTCGATGAGAGGTCGAAGCCCGAGCTGTTCCTTACCGCCCCTTTTGCTGCTGTGCTGCCAGCTTTCTTGACCGGCTTCGTCCTGGAGGTACCACCGCTCGTCTTGGCGCTCTGGCTCGAGCCCTTCTCGGCGCCATCTGCCCCGCCGTTGACCAAGACTCCTCCCTTCATGATGACCTCATCTTGACGCCTCCCGTTCAGGTGGAACACGCCAGGCCACTTCTGCATCAGGATGGCGATGTTTGCGCGCTCCTTGCTGCCATTGGAGTCTCTCGTCGCCACCGCGCCGCCCGCGTTAGTGGCGTGCCGAGCATGCGCGAACATACGGTTGCAGCGAAGAACGCTGCCGTGCGCCTTGATGTGAGCGCAAGAGAAATCGTAGTCCTCTTTGAGGGTCATGGACGTGTCGAACCGGCACTTCGAGGCCGGCTCCGCGACAAAGAAATCGCCCAGGATGAAATGGTGCGTGGAGTACTCCTCAAAGGGTACGGTTTCACTCTGCCCAAACTCACAATGTTATGATCACCTTTGCAAAGCGAAGGCCAATCGAGGCTGTAGGGCTGTGCTGATCAGATGATGCAGCCCATCGTGTTGACGGTGCAGCGAGGAACTGAAAGCATAAGTGGAGGCCCGTCCACAAGAAACCTTCCACGAGAAACCCAACCCCGAGACCCCGCAACGTCCTTTTTGGTGTGGGAACGTCACGCTTTCAATCGCAGAACCATCGAAACCCAAGAAACCCAGGGCGCCCTGGAGGCAAGCAAGGTGCTTCCATCCACTGTATGCTGTTCCTGCCCTGCTCGGGCAGCGAAGGCGCAAGCACCCCCCTTGCCGCCCGCCCGCTGAGCAGGGACCGACCGTCCCGGCTTTCCTACAGGCTTACCACGACACGACCTTCGAACTCAATAATGTTACAAAAACAAAACGAATGTTCTTGGAACATAAACCCGATGCGTTAAAACAAAGCATCCTCAGCATGACATGTTCTAAGAACATGCCGCGCAGATCACAAAAGGTTCTCAGAACATTCATCCGTTGGCCTATGGGCAAGCCAGGACGCTTCGCCACTGCTCGAGCCCGAGTCATGCCCGGATCTCATTCGCTCGGCACTTTCGCCGACCGGCCCCGGCCCTTCTGCTTGCTGCAGTTGCCGCCAGGCGTCCCATGGGCCCTGGTGCCTGCCTCCGACGCTGCCAGGTTAGGTGCTTTGTAGACGACGAAGAAGACGAAGAAGAACAACAAACAAACAACATCTGCATAAGCACAAACGGTCGAAACGCCGTGCGGATTCCTTGAATCGACGCTTGGCCTCCCCCCTCCCTGGAGCACGGAGCGCGCCAGGGGCGCCACCAGGGGGCGTCCGATGCTGACCAGGGAAACCCGCGCGGGCATCCAGAAGCTTACCCGCCAGTCGGTAGAAGCAGGCGGAAACTTAGAGCAGGAAGGCGGACAAAGCAGATTGGATCCGAGCCCGCCCGAAGAAAAACAACAAATAACAAACACGTGTCGACTCTTGAAACAGGAGGGCACTTGGAGCAGATTTGGAACCGGATATCCCCAAACAGCTAGATTCACCCCCCTCCCGCCCCTGACCCATTGAGCATCTTATGAGTCTTCACAATCATCTACCATATCCTTGACACCGTCCCGCTTTCATACTTCGGGGAAACACGTGGTGGTCAAGTGATAGAGATCTGTCACCTGGAGGTAATAAAGATCAGCCAATGTGTGTGTGTGTGTGTCTATGTGTGCGTGTGCGTGTGCGTGTATGTGTGCGTGTGCGTGTGCGTGCGCGTGCGCGTGCGCGTGCGCGCGTGCGCGTGCGCGTGCGCGTGCGCGTGCGCGTGCGCGTGCGCGTGCGCGTGTGCGTGTGCGGGTGCGTGTGCGTGTGCGTGTGCGTGTGCGTGTGCGTGTGTGCGTGTGTGTGTGTGTGTGTGTGTGTTTGTGTGTGTGCCGCTCGTTGGTTCTTCGACGCCGCCGCCAAGTTCCGTGACTCGGACTTGCGCCCCCCCCCCCACACACTTCAGCACGCTCAGCGCGAGAGGGGCGGCGCCGCAGTGGCAGCCAAGGGGGGGAGCTCCAAAAGGTTATGTCCATACGGGCTCTGGGGGGACAAGAGCATCCCGCTGCTCCGCTGCTCCCCAGACATCTCCAGGAGTGCGTCCTGGCCACAGCTTCGAGACGGATCCAGCCGTGGCCACGAGAGGTCTCCAGGACGAGCAGCGGTGTCGGTACCTTCTCCTCCTCGGAGTCATGCCGGTTCTCCTTCTTCAACATTCTGCCTTGCTCCCGAGTGCCTCTAACCCTTCAGCTGGCTTCCGTCACTGGTGGTTGCGGTGGTCGGGCGTCCTCCCAAGCTGTGTACGGCCGTGGCAGTGCCCCCTCTTGACGCCACCTGCTTCCCTGGCTCGGCCCCGAGCCCGACTGTGCCAAGGCCCTCGTGTTGCCCTCTGCCTTGGCGGCGCGCACACGGCCCTGGTGCCCCGTGTCCTGGCGGCGCGCACAAGGCCCTTGCGGGGGGCGGCCTTCTGAGAGGGCAGGGGGGGCTGTTGAGAAGCCGGCTCAGAAGCCTCCGCGGGCAGCCTACGCGCCAGAGTCGGTGACGACGGCCCCGTTTTCTTCAGTTGCACAGGTGGGTTTTTACCCCGTCTCGCCATACGGCGGAATGTTGGCGGGGTCAGCCGTCGCTGCGTACTCAGTCGAACTTTCTGGGTCGAATGGCGAGGCTGTGGGCGTGTCAAGGGGCACGCTGGCAAGGGCAACGGCAACGGCTCGGCGCGCGTGGCCCCGTGAGGGCGCGGCGGAGAGTGCGCCGGGGCGCCTGCATAGAATTGCATGGGCAAGGCGTGCGCGTGTGAATCGGTGCATGGGGAGCAAGAGGAGAGGAGGAGGAGGAGGAGGAGGAGGAGGAGGAGGAGGAGGAGGAGGAGGAGGAGAAGGAGGAGGAGGAGGAGGAGGAGAGGAGGAGGAGGAGGAGGAGGAGGAGGAGGAGGAGGAGGAGGAGGAGGAGGAGGAGGAGGAGCGGCACGCTGAGACTGCGCAGGCCTGCGACAGAGGAGCGCGCGGGCGCGCGCAGAGGCCGAGCAGGGCCTCGCTGGAGCGTGCGAGGGGATGGGGAGGCTGTGCACAAGTGGGCGATCAGAAGCAGCGGGTCCTACGCACGTTATCATCGCGACCTCACGTGGTCCACGCGGGCCGCCAGCGCGGCACGCCACATCGGAAGCGAGGGCGCCTACACGCCACCTCACGCGTCAGCTCACGCACCCAGCCAACACCATTACCGGCTCCTTTCCGGATTCTTAACAGCACCCTGCCAAACCTCGACCAACACACTACAAGACCTGTTGGCAGGCGCTTATACACGCAAAACTCCCCTGAGGGCAAGAAACGGCTGGCGCTAAGCGCTCAACTTAGCGTCCCCTGTGGCCAGTCTTCACCTTCGCTGACCCCTGCCAACACATTGCCAGACCGTTACCGGTACCCAGCCAACAGCATAAGAACCTGCACCGTTCTGATGCCCTGCCACAGCGCCCACATCACCAACACCTTCCGAGGCCCATACCATGAGCGTGGGCTTCACACCAGCCAGGTTAGCTGTAGAGGCCCTGGGACACACAAATTCGCTGGCCCAACGGGCCAGAGGCGTGCTAAGATCTCCGGTAACTGTTTTACAGTATTTATACTTCGCGCGCGGGGGGCGGCCCCTGGGGTCCCCCGAGGAAAAGTACCCTGGCAAGGTCGGATCAGAGATGGTTTTCTGTCAGGGCGCCGCCCTCGAGACCCTCCAGAGAGCCCCAAGAAGGATCAAGAGGCCTCCAAGAGGCCCCCAAGATGATACAAGAGGGCTCGAAGATGGCACAAGATCGCTCCAAGACGCCCAAGATGGCCCCCAGACGCCCCAAGAGGCCTCCAAGAGCACTCTCCAGAGGGCCCCAAGATGCACAAATCATTGCTTTTCCCTAGGTTTGGGACAGATTTTGGTGTTTCCACCTTTTCGGCTTCCCGACGCCCCAAGACGGCCCAAGAGGCCCCCAAGATCGCCCCAAGACGGCCCAAGAGGCTCCCAAGAGGGGCCCAAGACGGCCCAAGAGGCTCCAAGACGGCCCAAGAGGGCCCCTAGAGCGCCCCAAGAGCGGCCCCAGAGGGGGAGCACGAAACAACATTTCGAGCCCTCGGTCCTGAGAGGCCTCCAGGAAGTCCCAAGAGGCCCCTAAGAGGCCCCAAGAGGCCTCCAAGAGCCCTCAGGAGGCCCCCAAGACGCTCCCAAGAGGCCACCAAGAGACTCTAAGAGGCCCCCAAGAGGCCTCTTGGAGGCCCTAAGAGGCCCCCAAGAGCCCCCCACGGGCCGGCGGAATGAGCGAAGCGATTCAATACATGCACAGAAATCCCAGAATTCATAATGTTTTTCATGTTTCCTGGATTTTTGTCTTCCCCCCCACTTCCCATATTTTCCTGGGGATGGTGGATTCATTGTGTCTGTGTGTTTTTCCCCTCCTGGTTAGCATCAGACACGATCAGCTGGGTGGAAACGTGAGGGTGGGTGGTTGGTTGCCTCGCGCTTGGGGCAGCCGCTCTGCTCCTCCTGGCCGAGGCTGAGCGACGCGTTCAGCGTCGGGAACACGCCGCCGAGGTGAGGCCTCCGAGGCGAGGAACGCATCTTGGCCAGGATGAACTGCGCCGCGGCCAGCGGCGAGACGTGGAGCCGCCGAGCTCCGTGGACCGCCGCGTTCGCCTTGTGAGCGTTTCGTTTTACTCGGCGTTTCGGCATTGGGCGGAAAGGGGGGGGACCTCTGCTCAGTGCGACTGTTTGCAGCAGTGCGTCCATTGTAGGGGCTCCACCTGCTCGAAGCAGGCGCCCAAAACAGCCAAGATCCACTCCAGGGGGGAGGGGGGAGAGGGGGGGGGCGAGGGCCCGCGCCGATCGGCAAAACGAATAATAAACCTGATATTGCCACGGACCCCGACCTTGGAGGACAAGTGGGTGTGACTTGCGAGAAAGGGAGCAGTAAAGAAGAGGTGAGCTCAGCACGCTTCCATGAGAGCCACCGGGAGGAGGGGAGTCGCAGGTTGACATGGCGAGGGAGGAGTGGGAGTTAGAGGACTCTTGAGGCTCTGGAGGCTCCTGGGGGGAGCCAGGATTGGACAAGTTGCGTGAGCTCATCACGTGTCCATGCGAGCCACAGCGAAGGGGGGGCGCGGGTTCACAGGATCGGCCGACTTGCGGTTTTCGGGGGCCGTATGCGGCCGTGTTGAGGCCTTCGGGGGATTTCCTGGGGAGCGATGTGGGGATCTGAAAGGTCGCTTGGGGTTCCTGTGCCAAAGATGTTCAGAGAGAAAGGTGGCGGAAGAAACGACGGTGCGTCTTGGAGGTGAGCGCAACACGCGACCATGCGAGTCCGGAGGCGAGCTCAGCACGTTTCCATGCCAGACCAGCACAGGATGGGTTCCCGTGTTGTCCGTTTGCCGCTGTGACGCTGTGTCGAGGCGCCTCCAGCCGTCCTGGGGTTCGGTTGGGGGAGTCCTGGAGCCCTCTTGGGTGCTACTGGGGGCTCCCTGGAGGCCTCTTGAGGCTCCTTGGGGTTCCTTTGGGGGCCTCTTGGGCGCCTCTTGGGGCCTCTTGAAGGTTCCTGGGGCGGAGAACCCTGAATATGGGCCGCTGCCTCCGCTCCGGGGGCGCTCTTGGGGCGTCCCTGGGGCTCTTCTGAGACCGTCCTGGAGGCCTCTTGGGTCGTCTTGAGGGCCTATTCGGCCGTCTGGGCGCTCTCGTGGGGGTCTCTGAGGGCGTCTTGGGGCGATCTTTGGGGCCTCTTGGGCTGTCTTGGAAAGGCGGGAAGCCGAAAAGACGAAAACCCCAGAAACCTTCAAATACCTAAGGAAAAGCTATGATTTTGGACGCTACGGGCTCTCCTGAAGGGCCTGTTGGAGGCCTCTCGTGGCGTCTGTGGGGCTCCCTGGGTCGTCGGGACGCCATCCTGGGCGTCTTGTGCCGCTGTTTCGGCGACTGGAAGCCTTCTTGGTCCATCTTGTGGGCCATCTTGGGGCCGTCCGTGCCTCGTGAAAGAGCGCCTGCAGAAATCGGGCCGTGAGCGGCCGTCGAGCGGCCGTCTTCCGCCGACTTCCGCCGACTTCCGCCGGCGTTCCGCCCGTGGCCGGGGCCATGCCCCGGGGGGTCCCACCCCAGACCCCCCCAGGGGGACACACAACGGGAACCCCTCCGCCGGGTCGGGGAAAAAACGATCACCTTCGCGAAGGTGACCTCGCCCCGAAAGTTCTGCTTCTCCACGTCGAGGTCCGGAGGAGGGCCAGTCGAGACAGCGGCGGCCCCGCCTGGCGCCGCTTCCGTCGTCGTCCTCGTCCTCGTCCTCGTCGTCGTCGTCGGACCTGGTCGTCCTCGGACCTGGACCGCGGGGCCCAAGGTTGAACCTCGAGAGCCGCCGCTGCCTCTGGCCCGCCCTCCTCCGAGAAGTACTCCCATTTCGAGATGTCATCGGAGATCTGGACGCACACCTGCCTCTTGCGCTTGGCCACGTCCAGCGCCATGTTCCTGGCGGGAGTCAGTTTGCCGCCCACGACGGCGCGAAGGCCAAGCTCCTTGTAGTCCGCCAAGCTGTCTGCGTCCACGTACCACGTCGGCGTGATCCCAACCGCTTGGCAGTGGCCCTCCACCAACATGATGCCGTGCTGGCCTAAGGGGAACGTTCGGGGGGCGGGGGGCTTGCTGAGGGGGGGGACCATCGAGCTGGAAATCGGCGGCACATCGCCGATGGATCGGCGATGGGCCCCCGATAGCGAATCCGCACGCTTCTGGGCGGGGTGGACTGTGGGGCCGCCCTGTCGGCGATGAATGGGCGGTCGGGGGTCGATGCATCCCCCCCCGGAGCCCATCCTAGAGAGCAGAAAATCCCCCCCCATAATAAGCACCCCGACAAGCGAAGCCGTTTAGTAAACGCACCCATGGAAGGAATCGAAAGGGGCAGGGCTGTTTAGTAAACGCCCAGGGTTGTTTAGTAAACGCGAATTGTCGGGGTCGGGGTGGTTTTGTCCACCCTTGACATCCCCCCCAAAGTTGCTCCTGATGTCCTTCGTCTGACGCCGCTCTGCGGGCCGAGATCACCGCGAAGTGAAAGTGCTCGGCGCCCAGCACGTGCCTCCTCTCCGCCGCCGTGAGGCTCCGCTGCAGGAACGCCCTGTCCGCGGCCGGCGACACGCGCTGCCGCACCGACCGCAGGATGCCGTTGACGCCGTCCCGCGCGGTGAGCTTCCGCCCGAGGCTCTCCTCTCAAGGGGACGTAAGACCTGGGTACAGGGGACTCGGAAATCCCCGACGAGGTCGTCAAAACCTGATATTGCCACGAACCCCGACCTTGGAGAACAAGTGGGCGTGCCTTGCGAAGAAGAGAAAAACAAAGAAGGGGATCACTATATGGCGCGCCCTGCTGTGCTTGTGTTGGCTGTTTCGTGAGGTGCTGCATCCAGGGGTATTCTGCTGGTTCCCGTGTTGTCCGTTTGACGCTTTTCCATCTTGTCGGGCTGTCTCCGAGCATCTTCCAGGTTTGTCGGGTAGTGTTGGGGTCTTGTTGGGGGCTTGATGGGGCCACGAAGTAATGGTGGAGGAGGGAGTGGAGGGGGGAGGAGAGTAGAGAGGGGAGTGGATGAAGATAAGGGGGGAGAGTAGTGGGAAGAGGAGGGGGATGGAGGACGAGACGACGTCGAGATCGACGTCGACGATGACGACGACGGGTAGATGCACGTCGCACTGCGCCCGGTCTCTTGGGCTCGAGCGAGGGCACGCAATTCCTTGCCCGCGCGCGCTTTGCTCGTTCGAACCTCAATGGCCCTAGTGTCCCTGAGTCTTTCTCTGGGCGCGTCCACGAACTAGTAAGCGTCATTGTTGTTTAAAATATGGCTACGGTACCTTTTTTTTGCCGGGGGCTGGGCAGGGGAGCTGGGCACCTGCCCGCTCCTAAAGGGTGGGGCCTTATTTTGTTAACCGGACCCCTGGCGAAAGTTCCACGGTGAAAGCTGGTTGAGGAACGCCTCGTGGGGCTAATCCTGCGGAGGCTGGCGCGTCCTCGAGGCCGCGTGCTCTAGAGGCGCAAGAGACGAACTTTTCGAGCGTGATATCTGCAGGGGGCTGGGAAGGTTCTCGGTGATGGGCAACGTGGAGCCGTGAAATCTCTTTGGGGTTCGGGGGAAGATGAAATCGGCAAGGCACCAAGAACAAGGGGGTTCCCTAGTTGTCCGTTTCCCGGGTCGGTTCCTTAGTTGTCCGTTTCCTGGCTGTTGCCTTCAAAGTTGGACTGGATGTTGCCCCAACCCCCAGTGCCAGAATCGATCCACCAACGGCCAGAATCGACAGTATCGTGCCCCCAGCTCTAAGTGAACGTCGTCGTCGAGGTCGTCGTCGTCGTAGTTGTTGTCGGGAATGTCGTCGTCGAGGTCGTCGTCGTTGTCGTCGTCGTCGTCGTCGTCGTTGTCGGCCTTGTCGTCCTTGTCGTCGTCGTCGTCGTCGTCGTCGTCGTCGTCGTCGGTGTCGTCGTAGTCGTCGTCGCTGTCGAGGTCTTCGTCGTTGTCGTCGTCCTTGTGGTTGTCGATGTCGTCGTCGACGCTGGGTAGGCGCGAGGAGGTATGAGGATCATTTGTTTTGGTTCGCGCGTGACGCTCCGACAGGAGGCGCATTGAAAAAATGTCTGCTCTGGCGAGCTGCGAAGTGTAGGCCTAGTTGTGGAGATTCAACAGGAGAAGCGCGAGAGAGGATAGGGGAAGGCGTAGAATCGGTGCTGAGGCCAAAGTCGAGGATGGCTTTCGTATGTATGTGGGTTGACGGTTGCAGCGGGTGGGGAGCTCGTGGACAAGGCGAAGGAGAGAAAGCTGAGACAAGAGACGACGACTTGCCAGGAACGAGGAGGGGCGGGCAGAAACAAGAGGTCGGTCGTGGCGTTTGTTGAAGCCATGCTGGTTCCCTGGTTGTCCGTTTGGATTTGGGAGTGGTCGCTGAATGACTGAAGTGTCTCTGGTGGGATATTGTGCAGAAGCCGTTGGCTTGGGGGGAAGGCTACCGCGGGCGGCCGACGCGGGCGGTGCCGGGCGCCTCAGCAAGGCGCGCTCATGCCTCGACCTCCTCCGCACTGCCGAAACTGGGTGCATAGCGCTTCTTCGTGTTCGTGAAGATCTCGTCGCACGCGTGCTGGAAGGAGATTGGGTCCCTCTTGCGTTTCATGGTTGCCGGGGGCTCATTCAGGCCTGCCTGCGCGAAGTTCAACTCTTTCTGCCACTGTGGGAAAGACGCGGCCTCTGGGACGGCCCACACCTCGGACAGCAGCAGCTCCTTTGCATCCACGCTGATGTGCGTGATGTGGGCGAGGGCGACGTGTTTCCGCGGGATGGAATAGCGCGGGAGCTTCGAAACGATTGCCGTGGTCGAAGCACTCCAGGTGTCATCCTTGGATTCCTCCATCGCATCCCGGACGGTGTTGACAATGGCGAACCCGTCATCGATGGACGTTACCGTCGGGTCGCGCACGCCACGGAGCAGCACCAGAGCTCCCGAAGTAAGGGTGGGCGCTCCGTTGCCTGCGGGATTGATGGCAAGGCGGCCGGTGGGCGACATCGACAGCCAGGTCAGTTTGGCGGGGAGGAGCCGGTCCTCGCTGGGGATGAACGTGGTGGGCGTGGCGGTGTCGAAGGTGCGGGGCTCTGCGCAGACGACTGCGAAACTTGGCGGCGCGCCAGCCTCCTTGCCGTCCTTGGAGGTGGCGTACCGGAGGCGCAGACGCGCGCGCGGGAAATTCACGGCGTCGGTGGAGACGGCATCAAGGAAGGAAGCTTTCGAATCCGACTCGGCCAATGCCAGAGCCGAAGATTCTGTCAGGTATGCCTGCACGGAGCCTGTGCTGTCATGTATGGAGGCCTTGGCGTAGATACGGTCCGTCCCCTTGGCGCAGAGGTGGTCGGGATCCGCGTCTAACAAAGCGACCGTGCAGCTGGGGGCCTCGAACAACTGCTCGGGCAACTCTTTCTGGAATCCCGACATGTACTCGAGGACCGAAAGGTTGCACCACATGGCTCGTCCCGTCTTGTAGTCGGTGGTGTTCCCCGCCGTTGACAAGGTAGAAGTCGTCATGCTGGCGATGTCGAGGGCGTTCAATCTGGCGGCGCCCGGGAGAGACCCTCCAGCTTTGGCGACGACGGTGGTAGAGCTGGCCGTCAGGTGGATGCCTCCGGATTGTTCTTTTGTAAGCCACGCGTGGAAGATATACACCACGTCGCCCTTCTCCGTCTCACTGATGACGCCGCGGTCCTTGTCCCAGAAATTGATTTGGAGGATGCGGCCTTGTTCGTCGCAGATGTGGAGTTCGCTGATGTAGCTGTCCTTCTGCTTGAGGTCGCGTTTGATCTCCGCCGCGCGCCCGTGGACGTCGAGGAGCTGGTCGCGGGAGAGGCCGAGGACGTCCCCGGCCGTCATCCTCGGCTCTGCTTCAGAAGGCAAGTTCTGGGCTTCAGTCGCAGACAGGCTCTTCGCGGTCATATTCTTATGGGTCAAGTTAATGGTGACCGGGTGTGGGGCAGAGTGATATTTCGAGCCCTTGGCCTTTGCTTGCATTCTGCGGAACTGCCAGGCGCTTCCGGGTGTGTACTTGTCCTGGAAGTTCTTCAGTTCCGTTTTTTGTTTGTCTGGCGTCCCGAAGAACAAGGCTTCCCCCACGATATAGTCGCCAGACTCGCTGACGAAGTATCCGCCGAACGCCGTCAGCTTGGCATTCGTCGGTTGCCTGAAGTACGTGTGGGTGAGCCGCACCTTTAGCGTCTGCGTGGAAGCGCTGGTCACGTTCAACGTCTTCACGGACGCCATGTCGCCGGGCGGGCGGGTCAGTGTATAGGAGCGCGCGGGTAAGTGGGGGCGGCTGCGGTTACTCCGCAGCTGGCGGAATGCGCGAGGGCAACGATGCTCGCTTGAGCCGGAGGCTGCATGGGCAGCGCATTCGCTTTGGGGGGGGGCAGAATCACAGAAGAGATGGGCGCCAGGGGAGCGCAGGACGCGATGATTGGTGGACGACTCGCACTTCGTCGCAGTGCGGTGGTGGCAAGATCGCGACGTTCAAGGGAAGCGGCCCGCTTCTGAAAAGCTCTCACGGGTCCAAGAAGGGGTCGCCGAACTTGATGCAGCCGTGCTGAGAAGCGTCGCGGGGTTTAGCGCGTACTCCTCGAAAGCATGTCACGCTGGGCCTCGTCCAAAGTCGGGCCCGGGTGAGGGCCTGCGGTGCGCGGCTGCGTCTGATGGTACTCTGGCATCGGGCGCGCGATCTCCACCGGCTCCATGGGGCGTGGTGCTGACTTTCCGCTCGATGGCAGGAGGTGCACGTGGAAGCGTTGGTAGCTGGCAGCAGCGCGGCCACCGCATCTCTGGATCTCTTTGTTGGTCCGGGTGTCCACGCCGTCGATCTTTCTAGCTGCGAGCGCAGCGATGGCCGCGTGCTTGAAGGCGACGGTGGCGTGCAACGGGGGTCCGGGGCGGAGAACGGGCAGCGACCCCAGCGCGCCGAAGTTCATGAAGAGGTTGTTGATTCTGTCTGGCAGCGACGCCGCTGTATCGGGGCGGAGCCAGGAGTCTGGAAATCCCGTCACCAGGATAGTGCGAGATGGATGCGTGATATCGTCTCGGTCATCATCGGAGCCGCCTGCACTGTCGAAGCTGGTGCCGTTACGGAAGGTGGCAACTCCGAGGTTGTTCTCGTATCGCGCGGAGGCCGGAGCGGGTGCTGCCGTGACAGGGTTGCTCTCGTCTCCTTGCCTGGTCGTTCTTCTGTAAGCACGAGCAACCTCCGACAGAGTTGATCTAGAATGCGTGTGCTTCTTCCCGCGCGATTTGCGGGGACGGCGTTTGGCCATGGCTTGATGGCGCGTGAAAGATATGAAACGAAGCCGATGGCTGAAAGCAAAATGGCTACGGAACGGAGGTCGGGAAAACGAAGAGGAACAGACAGCTAAGGAAGAATACGTCGGATACCTACGCGGCGAGCTCAGCACGTTGCCATGCGATCCGCCAGGTGAGCTCAGCACGCAACCGCGCGAGCCACCGGCATTGCCAAAGCGCACGTTTTCCAGAGAAGAGTCGAGGTTTGGGGAGCCCAGGGGAGAGGACCTTAGTGTTCTGTTGATGGGGTCAGCGGGCCGTGCGACCATGCGAAACACGCGGTGTGGTCAACATGCTTTCATGCGACCCACCTGGTACGATTGTGTTGTGCCTTCAATACGATCTGGGGTGAGCTCAGCACGTCACCATGCGGCCCGAAGGTAGACTCGAACATGGCCTCAGGATAGCCTCCACCTCGGAGAGCTGATGTGGGTCAGATGGGAGTCTGAGAGTTACCAAAAAAAAACATGCCTACAGGGTGCATTGTGTCGGTTCCCTGGTTGCTCGTTTCGGCAGTCTCGGGTCCTGGTAGAGGGCCTTGTGAGGCTCCTTCGGGGTTCTTGAGAATGTCGTTTGGGCTCAGACGGCATCGAAAACTAGTGGAAAGCTATGTGTTCTGCCTTGTCGGCGTGCAGCTTAGAGCATCGATGATGGCTCAAGACGGGCCGAGGCGGATCCCAGTGGCCCGAAGGTGGCACGAACATGGCCTCAGGATAGCCTCCACCTCGGAGAGCTGGTGTGGGTCAGATGCGAGTCAGAGAGAAGCAAAGAAAAGGATGCCTACAGGGTGCATTGTGTCGGTTCTCTGGTTGTCCGTTTCGGCTGTCTTGGGTCCTGGTAAAAGGCCTTATTTGGCGTATTGACATGGCGGAAGCCTCCGGAATAGGAATTTCAAGCTACGGTCACCATCGCGGTGCATGTACAAGATGGGTGGGAGTCCTGGTCGCTTGGTTAAAGGGACATCCGGTCCAAGGTAATCCTCGGAGTTGTTGCACTCATATCCGTCCGTGAGGGTGCGGCGACAATCTTGGTAGTCCAAATTCCCTCTGTGGGCAACCTTTCCTGCCATTGTCGTGCTGCCTTCTCTGGGATTGAACCGCGCTGTATTAATGCGTCCGCGGCGCGCCTGCCGGTCGTCGGTCTCGACGCTGGCTCCGAGAGAGGCATCGGCAAACAATCGAGTATCGGCCAGGATGGGCATGGACTGGTTGTCTACTAGAGGCTGGCCACGTATTCGTGGCAATTGTGGGTCCTTGCCAACGCGAGCTAAGAGCCGTTCTACAACCCGCTCCTTTGCGACACCTTCTCCTGGGCTGTCGGCGGTGGACGGCAGCCAGAGTCTGACGAAGTGCACGAATCCGAAACGGCAGTGTTGAGGCTTGCGAGAGACGCCGTCCTCAATGTATTTGAAGCACGTGTCGTGGTGTTGATGGATGTGGCCGCTGAGGCTGCAAATACTCCAATGGTCTTCTGCAAATGCAGCTGCATAAGATGCAGCTTCGGCTCGCATGGCATCATCGTCGGGGGCGGCGCTCGCGAAGCCCCGAGACCTCGCAGTGCAGCCAACACATGCGCACGATTGTTGCCTTTCTGGAAGGATCCGGTAGTGTGGGAGCTTCGAAAGGGTTGCCCCCGTCAAAGGAAGGGCTCGTTCTCGAACTGGGGTGCCTGTGTTCGCGTCGATCTGCGTCGCGGGGTGGCGTCGGACGTGGTGGTCGACGAAAGCCGGCGCAGGAGGCACGAGAAGTCGCCGCTTAGTAAGGTCCTTTCGGTCGCCCTCGAGGTCGCCGTCGAACTTGTCCCCGCGCTGCCACCTCTCGAGGTAAGGCGTGCTTTAAAGGGGGGGGGCCTCGGAGGCCTTGTCGACAAAATGCAATGGGACAGTAGCGGAAGATGTTACCTGCAAGGCTCCAACGGCTTCAACTACAGCGCGCTGCCAACTTTGCAGAGTTGATCGCGCTGCGGCTGTGTCCTTGCGGAGGACGGAACGCAGCCATGATTGAGAGGTTCGGTTGACGAAGTGAAACACCATGTGGGAATGCGTGCTGAGACGCGCTTGCTCCTCGATGGGTCCACTCAACGATGCGTCCATGTTCATCCCACCTCCCACTGCGGAAGCTGCGTAACCGTCAGGAAAGATGACACCGTTGGCGGCCCCATTGTGCTGCAGCAACTCGTCAAAGGGTCCAGTGCCCAGGATGTGTTCGCAGAACAGTCGCATGCTGAGACGCGGACCCGGCACTGTCGGGCGCCCGGTTGTCAGAGTTAAGTTTGGCGGAGGTGGAGAGGGCGAGCGGTAACGAGGTCATGGCGGAGGGGGCGGCGAGGGGGCAGGCTGGCGTTCCAGGGTGGAGCTTCGAGGCCTATGGATCCCACGCGCTGTCCGCGGCTTCGTCTGCGGCTGAGACTGCGCAGGCGTGGGCGGGGACGGGGGGGAGGTGGAAGCCGCGTGCCGTAAGCGGCGTTGCGGAGGGGGTTGGCGGGAGATGCCGGAAGCTAGGAGATAATAAAGAACCTCGCCTGCGCAACAGGGTTTTTTGCAATTATTTCTAGCATCCTTTGCGCTGCTGGCATCGTCGGGTTCTCGTCGAGGAGAGAGACGGAATACCTTTCCGTAGCGCCGTCGTCATTCAGTCCTGACGGGGGAGGGGCATGGGGACTTTTGACATGCGATGGGGGTGGGTTGGGGACGCGTGGGAGGGAGGTCCTGGCAGGGAAGGCCGCTCTAGTGGAGTGGCGCAGAAGCATAGGAGTGGCGGTGATAGACGCAGCAGGGGAGAGGAGGAGGGGTGTATTTCAAAGGGGGTCGTGTCCTCCGCTGGTGTGGTTGAGGCAGCCGGCATGGAGGACGACCACCAAAGGGTTCCGGGTGTCTGCGACGTTTGGCGCGAGGAAGCCTCCAATGCCACCGAACCGGAGCATGTCTCCCATCTGCTCGTGGCGCAGCTGTTGACGAGCACCTTCGGAACCAACAACGTCGCTGCTGAAGAAGAGGAGGTTGCGCACGGCCTCCCGCAACGAGGCGGGAGCGTTGTCCGAAAGCAAGCACTCTCGGAAGCCGGCTCTGTCACCCATGGAATCGAAGGCGGATCGGAGTTGTGTCGCCGTGGCTTGACACACGAGGTTCACGCTGGTTTGAAAACCTCTTCGCCGCACGTGGGCCCCAGCTCTGCGCGTGAGTTCCATCCTGCGCCAAGAGTCGTGCAGGACGCATAAGAAATCTACATCGGCGCCCCAGCGTGGTTGGGCTGGCGGGACGAATGGCGCGGCGCCCCTGGTGCACTGCGCGCACGGCAGAGCGCCGCGCTTGAGAAGAGGGCATTCATGTGGCGAAGCGGCGTGGACTTGATATCGGAGCTCAGTGCGTAGCAGGAGCATGCGACACCATTGCTGGCAAGATAGCGGGCGGCGTCGGTCGATGCCGAAGACGCCATCCCCGTAGGGGAACAGCTGAGGGAATGCTTTTTGCCAGAACTCCTTCTCGTACATCGAAAGGGGGCGCTTTCCGGTAGGAATGACCCAAGTGCTGCCAGGGTTTTGCCGGGCGGCAGGCCCTCGGCCCTCTGCTGCGTCCATGGCTTTTAAAGCGCGGTCCAACTGCTTGCGGTATTCGTCAGTATTCAGGTATTTGGCCAAGGACTGAAGAGACTCAATCTCGGTGGCGATGTCGGCGGTGGGTACATCTGTGGAAAGTTTGGAGGACAGGAGCTCGAGCTTGGCAGCGAACTCGCAAGCCGCTCGGTCAGCATCTAGTGCACCCGTGGAGAAGTCCGTGGCGGCGCAGTGGAGGTTCACGTCGTCGGAGTCGGGGCAAAGGTCGTCGGCGGTCCCTTGGGACATGGGGCGCCGGTTTTCGGGTGGAGGTACGGTGTCGTGCGTGATGTTGGGTGTCGTACTGGCGCTTGGATCTTCCATGGGCCTCCCGTCTTCTGCGACAATGCTTTCTGGAACGGGGACTTCGGGTGCGTCGAACGTGGCTGGCCCAGGGATGAGATGCGGCGTGTGTGTGGTGGCTTGAATGCTAGTGGCTTGTTGGAGAACTTCAGCGCAGCTGTGCCCCGCTTCTTGGAGTCGTCGTGCGGCTTCGTCTTCGTCGATGTCGAGGGCGTGGTAAGCTTCCGAGTGAGCCACGCAGAAACGCACTGCCGTCATGTAGGCTTCCCGGGGGACCTCAGCCCACGTAGCCTTGTCCAAGTCGTCCACGGATGCACCCGCAAGCGCGATGGAGAGGCCGTCTGCGGAGAACTGCTGAGAAACCTCGGGCTCGGCAGGGAGGGCTTGGGTCACCAGCTCCCTGGCGTGCGCCTGCGGGAAGCAAATTGAATTGCCACGCAATCCCTTCTGTTTCGTGCGGGGATCCGCCTTCTTTGTTTTCTCAGCGATTATTTCCCGCACGAGCATGCGGGCGAGGGCGAGCATGGCGAACGTCATGGGAGATAGCTTCGCACCGTGTTTCCGGAACGCTACAGGTTCTCGCAGGATGAGGTTGTCGTTAGCGAGCGCGCACCGAGGGAGGAGGGGCGTGTTCTTGGAGAGGTCGAGTCTGCAGCTCAGGCACGTGGGTATGGAAGGAAAGCTGCCGTCGGAGTATGGTCGCAGCGTGTTGTCCGGCTGTAGACCAGGGCCACCGTCCGTGGAGACAGGGATAGTTGTGCTGTCCAGTATCCATCGCCAGGCAGTGCCGTCGGAATCGGTGGCCCAAGGGTGCACGACGCTTGTGCCGTAAACCTCAGCTCGGGGTAGGGAGTGGTGGCCTCCCGATGATTCGGGGGCCCGCCATCTGTCCATGTAGGCATCCGCTGAGAGGAGGTCGTGGATTCGGCGTGCACGAGATTGCACCTGGGCGGATTCGCGTTGCACCTGACCGTCGTCGCCGTCGTGGTCCTCGTCGAGGTTTGGGCGAGGGGCGCATGGAAAGTCCTGGGCGGGCCGCTTGTCGAACAACTGAAAATCTTCGAGGTCTTCCTTCCAGAATGTGAGGGCGCACACAGCGCAGCTGAGTACACCTCGCTCTTGGCCGTTGTGCAAGGGATGGTCGTGGTTGATTTTGTGCGTCCCAGGGTAGCTGTGCGTTTGATGTCGTGCGTGTGCGCTCACGACACGTCGGACCTCGTCCTGCTACAGGAAACGGGCCATCACGTTCTTCGTAGTAGAAGACTCTCTTGCGGTACTCTTCCTCGAGGCGCAAGGCGTCCAGGCCGTCGACGCTGCAGTGGACCTCGGGTAGGTGCTCATTGAGACCGCTGCCCCTCCTGGGGGGATCGCTGGGGGCGACCGAGTTGACGCGGAAGGGTAGAAGTAGGAAGTCGCGTTTGTGGGGGGAGGCGGAGGGGCAGGCGCGGGGTCGCGGAGCGAATGGGTAATGGAAGAGGCCATTGCTTTGAGAAATCGGGGTGGTGGGTAGCGAGAGACATGTGAGCAGCGTCTGGGCACGTCTGACTCGCGCGGAGTCGTCGCGCGTGCATTGCGCGGGTTGGTGCGGGGGGAGGGGGGAGGGGTGGGGGGGGCGCAAAAGGCGGAAAGTGCCAGAGGCGTTTTAGAATAAGGAGTCCTTCGGGTCGCAGCCATGGCCACAAAGGTAGCATGCGACGGGGGCGCCACAGAGAGGTATGCGAGGGAACGAATGTCGAGTGCCCTGGTCACGAAGAAGGCCGGCAGGAATGTAGGAATCGCTGACGGCCGTTTCAGTCCAGATGTCGCGCCCGAGGTGTCGTTCCCATTGCTGGACTTCCTCTTCGGAGAGCTGGGCTCGGAAGAGAACTTTGCGGTTGAGAACCGAGTGGAACCGATGTTGGTCTCCGAACCGGGCCTGGCGGGTGACTGCGAGTTGACGCGCCAACTCTGCTTCATTATACGCCTGATGCTGCCCTCGGTGTGTTCGAGCAGTGGGGAGTCTCTGGTGTGCATCTTTGAACGCGACGATGTCGTCGAGCAGCGTGTCTTCTTCCCACTCGAAGGTTTCGGAACTCTCAGGCAGGGCACTGAGGAGGTCCACGGTGGTTTGCCACGCAGCACGCTCTTCTGCGGACAATGGTGTTCGCGGGGTCCAGGAAGCCCCCGTCCGAGGGATCTTCGCGCGGGCAGCGAGGGCGTGGAGCAGAGACTTCCGTAGTAGACGCTCTTGTCGAGGGTGTGGTTGGGGGGGGCGACGGCGACGGTTGGCGAAATCGCCCAATGCGATGGCCAAGTCTGTCTGGGAGAGTCTTGCGAATGCAACTTCGCAAATGAGGTCGGACCGTGGAGAGTCTCGGCCAGACGCGGGCGACAGGCGAAGGGCGCTCTTAGCAGCCTCTTGGTGCACTGTGTCGTAGTTGCAGGTGCATAGGGCGTGCAAGTCGTCTGCGGTAATCGGCAGGGTCACGTAGAGCTCAGTGTCGGCGACGATCTGTTTCGCGCGTTGCCGACGACGTTTGTGCAGGTCCGTGGAGTCTATGTCGTAAGCAGAGCACCACGTTTCCAGCGTTGGCTCGAGCGTCGCGTCGCTGGATGGTGAGTGCACGCCGCAGGTGTCAAGGGAGAGTTGCAGAATGGGAGGCCACTCGTCTGGATGTTGCTTCGCCCACTGGACGACTGCGGCGGTGCGCAGAGGCAGGTCCCATGTCGGAATGCGCAGGGGCATGTTGACGTGGTGGATGGTTTTTTCGGTGTACTCCGGCAGGAGAGCGGCAGAGAGTTGGTCGTGGCCGACAGGGATGCACAGCGCGACGCACCACGCTGTGACAGTGATGGGGGCGGCAGTGCGTGTGGTGCGGAGATTCCATGTAGGGAGCCACTCGCGCAGGCGGTGTTCCCACTCCTGGGGGTTCTGGCGAGCCCACTGCTTGATGAATGTTGCGTCGAGGTCGTCTGGCCAGTGAGGCTCCGCTCGCAGAGTGCAAGTAGCGTGAAGGATGCGGTCGATGTACTGCGGCCGGAGGTCGTTGCGGAAACCTTTGAATGGAATGAGCAGAGCTGCGCACCACTCCTCGATGGTGATGTCGTCGGAGCCTCTCTGCTTTTTTGCCGGCTTCCAGACGGAGAGTCCGCGTCGAAGGTGTTCTTGCCGGTTGGGGGGCGCGTTGTGGGCCCATTCTTGGATGAAGGCGCGGGTAAGCACAAGTGGCCATTCAGGCCAGGTGGCGCCTGGGTCGCATGGCAATACGGTGGGTGGTGAAGCTGTGGCGCAGAGGTTCGCGGTGGCAATGAGGATGTGGCTAGTAAGGCGTGGTCGGTGGGTGTCGTCGTAACTGTCAAGTGGGATTTGTAGAGCGACGCACCAGTCCTCGACTGAGGTGTCGCTGGGACCTCGCTGACGTGACGCCATGGGGCACCTGGACAGAGTCTGTCGCAACGTGGGTTCCCAATCTGCGGCGTGTTCCTGGACCCATTGGCGGATGAACGTTGGAGTTAGATCGCTAGGCCATGGTTGCACAAGTAACCGCACTGCTGAGAGAATTCGGTTGATGTGTTGTGCACGTAAATCATTGCGGAACCCTTTGAAAGGAACGCCCAGGGCGGTGCACCAATCTTCGATAGTAATGTCGAAAATGCCGTGCCGCTGCTTTTTGGCAGGGCTCCATGCTTGCAGGGCCGATTTTAAAACCGATTCCCAGGACTCGCCTTGATCCGCAATCCACGTAGTAATGAACTCGGCTGTGAGTATGCGAGGCCACTTCGTCCGCTTGATGTGGTCTGCTGTCGAACTATCTGAACGTGCCCGCGCTGCATCCAAGATCTGTTGCACGCATTGGGGCCGTAAAGCCTGGCGGTGCCCCTTGAAGGACACCCCCAGGGCGATGCACCAGTCCTCGATAGTAATGTCGAAGCTGCCGTACCGCTGCTTTCTTGCAGGGGTCCATGCTTGCAGGCCGGATTCTAGAGTCGTCTCCCAGGACTCGCCTTGATCTGCAATCCACGTAGAGCTGAAGTCGGCGGTGAGAATGCGGGGCCACTTCGTCCGCCTGATGTGGTCTGCTGTCGAACTATCTGAAAGTACCCGCGCTGCATCCAAGATCTGTTGCACGTATTGGGGCCGCAAGGCTTGGCGGTACCCTTTGAAGGGCACCCCCAGGGCGATGCACCATTCCTCGATAGCGATGTCGAAGCTGCCGTGCCGCTGCTTTTTGGCAGGGCTCCAGGCTTGCAGGCCGGTTTCTAGAATCGTCTCCCAGGAGTCGCCTTGATCTGCAATCCACGTAGAGATGAAGTCGGCGGTGAGTATGCGAGGCCACTTCGTCCGCCTGGTGTCGTCTGCTGTCGAGTTGCGTGGAAGTGCCCGCGCTGCGTCCAAGATCTGTTGCACGTATTGGGGCCGCAAGGCTTGGCGGTGCCCTTTGAAGGACACCCCTAGGGCGACGCACCAGTCCTCGATAGTAATGTCGAAGCTGCCGTGCCGCTGCTTTTTGGCAGGGCTCCAGGCTTGCAGGCCGGATTCTAGAGTCGTTTCCCAGGACTCGCCCTGATCCGCAATCCACGTAGAGATGAAGTCGGCGGTGAGTATGCGAGGCCACTTCGTCCGCCTGGTGTCGTGTGGTGTCGAGCTGCGTGGAAGTGCCCGCGCTGCGTCCAAGATCTGTTGCACGTATTGGGGGCGTAGGTCCTGCCGGTACCCTTTGAAGGACACCCCCAGGGCGATGCCCCAGTCCTCGAGAGTGATCGTTGTGAGACCCTGGCGATGTTCTTTCCGGGGCTGCCATACTTGAAGGCCTGAAGTGAGCGTCGATTCCCAATTGTCCCCGTGCGCCGCGATCCAGCCGGCAATGAAGTCTCTGTTCAGGGTGCGCGGCCACTTTGTCGGCGGGCTCGTAGTGATGCACTGAGCTTTGGTGGCACGCAAAATCTGCGTGATGTAGGTTTCCCGGAGAGTCTCGTTGAAGCCTGTGAAAGGGATGCTGAAGGCCGCGCACCAATCCTCAATAGTAATCTCACTGTTGCCCTGTCTGGTTTTCTTATGGGCTTTCCAAGTGTGCAGGCTGTCAGAAACGGTGCCTTCCCAGGCAGAGCCTAGTTGGGCAACCCATGTGGAAATGAAGGATGGCGTCAACGTGTCTGGCCATCTCGTCGGCGTAGCCATGTGTCGCGGGGAGATCGGGAAGTAGGAGCCCCACGGAGTCGGAGGGAGCGTAGAACATGGCGCAGCAGGCCTGGGCGGGCGGGCGCGACGTCTGACCGAAACGGCAACGGATGCGAGTGGGAGAGGCTGGGCTGAGCTCAGCACGTTGCCATGCGAGCGAGGGATGGCACTGAGGATGAGAACAGGCGAGCGACTTGAGAACATGAAGCCGTGTGCGGTGAGCTCAGCACGCCACCATGCGAGCCACCGATTTTGATAGGGCCGTGCGCGTGTAGGTGAGACACCAACAGGGCAGCTGACGTTGGTTCCCGTGTTGTCTGTTTGAAGTGGTGACGCTTTGTCGGGGTGTCTCCAGCCATCTTGGAACCCTTCGGGATAGTATTGGAGCCCTCTGGAGAGCCACTTGTCAAGTAGGAGCCCTTCCGAGGCGAGCTCAGCACGTGATCATGCGAGCCAGTGGGGGAGGACAGGCGGTCGTCGCTTGCGAGAAAGAGAACAGCGGAAGATATGATGGCGTGGGGCGACGAATGCGAGGCGGGAAGGCTGGGGTGAGCTCAGCATGCTGCCACGCGTGCGACGGTGGGCAGTGAGGAGGAGAACAGGCGAGCAACTGGAGAAGATGAAGTTGTGTGCGGTGAGCTCAGCACGCTACCATGCGAGCCACCGGCTTTCATAGGGCCGTGCGCGTGCAGGTGAGATGCCCAGAAGGCACCTGACGTTGGTTCCCGTGTTGTCCGTTTCACGCGCTGACGCTTTGTCGGGTTGTCTCCTGCCATCTTGGAGCCTTGTTGTGAGGAGAAACTCGTGGGCGGACGGACGACGTAAACAGGCGAGGCACGGAGTGAGCTCAGCACGGCACCATGCGAGCCACTCGTCAAATGAGAGCCCTTGCGAAGTGAGCTCAGCACGTGACCATGCGAGCCACTGGGAGAGAACAGGTGGCAGTCACTGGCGAGGCAGAGAAGAGCTGAGGAGATGATGGCGCTGAACGACGGATGCGAGGGGGAGAGGCTGGGGTGAGCTCAACACGTTGCCATGCGAGCGACGGAAGGCACTGAGGATGAGAACATGCGAGCGATTTGAGAAAATGAAGTTGTGTGCGGTGATGTCAGCACGCCACCATGCGAGTCACCGGCTTTGATAGGGCCGTGCGCGCGCAAGTGAGACCCCCGGAGGGCACCTGACGTTGGTTCCCGTGTTGTCCGTTTCACGCGCTGACGTTTTGTCGGGGTGTCCTCAGCCATCTCGGAGCCCTGTTAAGAAGAGGAATTCGTAGGCGGACGGAGCTCGGAAACATGCGAGGCACGGAGAGAGCCGAGCACGGCACCATGCGAGCTCCTCGTCAAATGAGAGCCCTTGCGGAGTGAGCTCAGCACGTGACCATGCGAGCCACTGGGGGAGGACAGGCGGCCGCCACTGGGGAGCCAGAAAACAGCTGAGGAGATGATGGCGTTGGGCGAGGGAAACGAGTGGGAGAGGCTGGGGTGAGCTCAGCACGTTGCCATGCGAGCGACGGAGGGCACTGAGGATGAGAACAGGCGAGCGACTTGAGAACATGAAGCCGTGTGCGGTGAGCTCAGCACGCCAACATGCGAGCCACCGGTTTTGATAGGGCCGTGCGCGTGTAGGTGAGACCCCAAGAGGGCAGCTGACGTTGGTTCCCGTGTTGTCCGTTTGAAGTGGTGACGCGTTGTCGGGGTGTCTCCTGCCATCTTGGATCCCTTCGGGATGCTTCTGGAGCCCTCTGGAGAGTTTCTTGTAGCTTCTTGTGGTGCGTGTCCGAGGTCTCCTGGGGCGGTTTGATGGCGTACAGGGCCGTGAGGGTCGTGCTTGGGAAGGTGTTGAGAGGACGAACTCGTGGGCGGACGGAGGACGTGAACATGCGAGACACGAAATGAACTCAGCACGTCGCCATGCGAGCCACTCGTGAAATGAGAGCCCTTCCGAGGTGAGCTCAGCACGTGACCATGCGAGTCACTGGGGGAGGACAGGTGGCCGTCACTTGCGAGCCAGACAACAGCTGAGGGGAGAATGGCGTTGGGCAGAGCCCTTCCGAGGTGAGCTCAGCACGTGACCATGCGAGTCACTGGGGGAGGACAGGTGGCCGTCACTTGCGAGCCAGACAACAGCTGAGGGGAGAATGGCCTTGGGCGACGGATGCGAGGGGGAGAGGCTAGGGTCAGCTCAGCACGTTGCCATGTGCTCGACGGAGGGCACTGAGGATGAGAACATGCCCCTGGGGCTTCCTGGGGCCCTCTTGGGGGCTCCTTGGGCCCTCTTGGGGGCCTCTTGGGGCTTCCTGGGGGTCTCTTTGGGCGGAGAGCTCGAAATATCGGTCCCTGCTACCCCTCTGGGGTCTCTCTTGGGGCGTTCCTGGGGCCCTCTGAGGCCGTCTTGGAGACTTCTTGGGCCGTCTTGGAGGCGTCTTGGGCCGTCTGTGCGCCCTCTTGGGAGCCTCTCAGGCTGTCTTAGGGCAGTCTTTGGGGCCTCTTGGGCCGTCTTGGAGCGTCGGGAAGCCGAAAAGGCGAAGACGCGAAAAACACTGAAAAACCAATAGGAAATGAATGAATTTGGACTCTTGGGCTGATTTTGGGGGGCCTCTTGGAGGCCTCCCAGGGCGTCTTGGGGGCTTCGTGGGCCATCTTGAGGCCATTTTGGGCATCTTGCACCGATCTTTCGGCGACTCGTGGCCCTCTCGGACCATCTTGCGGACCATCTTGGGGCCGCCCGCGCCGCACGGAAGCGCGTCTGCCGAAGTGGGGCCGTCTTCCGCCGTCTTCCGCCGTCTTCCGCCGTCTTCCGCCGGCTTCCGCCGGCGTTCCCCCCGTGGCCGAGGGGGGGTCCCGGGGGGTACCCCCCCCAGACCCCCCCAGGGGGACACTAAACGGGAACCCCTCCTCAAGGTCGGGGAAAAATGACGAGGCCGAGCCTGCATTTTGACGAGGCCTCCCGCTGCAAACATCCCACGAAACTCCTCCTCGTCAAAATCCGAGGCGCGCTCGTCAAAAAATGATGGTGAACCCGAGTCCTGGCAAACCCGGGTCTTACGCTCCCCCGATCCTCGATGGCGGTGGGGTAGCCGCTGCGGTGGTAGAAGAACTTGCCCTCGCGGTGGAGCAAAAGCGGCATCGATGGCACGCCGCCGCGGGGAACCCACCAGCGAGTCACGGCAGGTTTGTGGCGCGCCAACCCTGGCGTTGGTGTCTGACACCTTGAACGATCGGCCGTTTCCGGAACGTTAGACCTTTCAACATTGACAGATTCTGGGCCGCCGCCGGCGCTGAACGTTGAACGCCGGCGGCGGGGTCGCCGCCGGTCGACACGACGCGAACCTACCATACGTTTGTCAGACAAACCCGCCGATGTCCTCGGATCAAACAAAAAGGGTAGCACGCGGACGGGCTCCCAACAGGGGCGAGCCATTGATACTCTGTTTGTCCTCCTGACCTTGGAGCGGGAGGAAGGGTGATGATACGATCGGCCAGCCTCGCATCGCGAAATCGGGCCCAGATCTGAACGTGCATCGGATCGGTGGCCCAGATCTGAACGTGCATCGGATCGGTCTGCAGGTCTGCATCGGCACGGAGTAGAGATCGAACTGGATCGACCGCGCCAGGATGACAGCAGCACTGTACAAGCATCGGGCCGCTTCGGATCAGCGGAAGATCGCAAACTCGGATCGGATCGGGCCGACCGAGATCGATATCGAATCGCAGCGGATCGATCGGATCGAAATGGACAAAATGTCATGTCGATCGGATCGAATCGGATCGGTAAGATCAATCGGATCGAACCGTCCCCAAATTCTCAAATATATGCGACAGTGGTAAAGAGAAGGGAACAATTGCGAGCTGGAGAAAGAAGGACTCGGACCCACCAAGGCAAGATCAGTCAGCATCGAGTCGGGAAATCGGATCGAATCGACATGTTTGTCAGCGTGGATCCCAAACAGTGTGTTTCTAGCAGTACATGTTTTGCAACCTAGGTGGAGCAACGTATGTGGTGCAATCTATGTGGTGCATCGATGGCGAGCAATAGTGTGCAACACATGCGGTGCAATCTGCGTGGTGCAATCTATGTTGTGCTACCTGTGCAGTCCAACATATGAGGTGCAGTCGACGTGGCTCAACCTATACAGCGCAACACATGCAATACATGTTGTGCAATCAGTGTGGTGCGACCTAGGCAGCGCAACCTATGCGGTGCAATCTAGGCGGCGACGAGGCGGCAACGGGGCGGCAACTCTTCCACGCCGGAACGCTTTCCGCTCCCCCTCCCCCTGGCGGCCGCTCTCGCCTGCCTCCCCCCCTTCTTGCACACCAGCCCCTTGGCCCTAGGTCGGGCGCGGCGGGTGCCCCTACAGGCGGATTCTGGACGAAAAATGAAGCACATACCCCAAACATGCGCAACAATAGCTTGAAGTGGTCGAGAAATCGGCCCCATATTATTTCTTAAAGTAGTTTTGGATACTCCCCCTCTAGAGGGAAAGGCCCGACTGAACACTGGACTTTCTGTTGCCCCGGATAGCCACGCGCTCGATCGGACTGCCTCTGCCTCGCCGCCGGCGGGAAAAAGAGCCTCCGTGTCTGTCTCGGGGGGAAGGGCCGTCGAGCCAAAGCCGGCCCTTCCTGGCGCCGTTCCTCCTCCTGGAGGCGTCGCGTCGCCGCGGCCAGATCCGCCTCGAGAATCCGGCCAGGCGGACTTAATGCGAGGGCCTCGAGGGGCCCTGGGAGCGACGTTGAGCGGATTCGGGCTGGGCGGAGGCGCCGTCCTTGTCTCAGCTGGCCCTCCTTCGACTCTCTCTCTCTCTCTCTCTTTTTCTCTCTTTTTTTGTTTTTGTTCTCTCTCTCTCTCTCTCTCCCGAGAGACGTTGCGCATCGCCTGCTCAGTAACCCGCCTTTTACCTAAGTCGCGTTGCGCCGGGGGGGGGTTGTTTCAACGTCCCCCGTACCACAAGGTGGGCACCACCGCTAAGCGTGCGATGGCGGCCTTGGCTATCGCAATAGCAGGCTGTCGACGGGACTCCCGTGAGCGTGTCCGATCCGATATCTCTCTCTCTATCGTTCTATCTATGTATCCGCCACCGAACCCTGGGGCACGAGTTGGAGTGTCCCCAGGTCCCTGGCCGAATACCCCTCGAGACTTCAAGGGGCCCGGGCCCCAAATTCTCAAACCTTCCGGGGCTTGTCGCGTCCTGCCGCGTGACTTCTTCGGCCCAAGAGGGCCCCAAGATGGGCCAAGAGGGTCCCGAATCGCCGCGCGATCGGTCGAATACGCCCAAGATGGCCCCAAGACGACCTAAGAAGCCTTTAAGTCGCCCAAAGAGAACCCCAATATCCTCCCCAAGAGGGCCCCGAGTGATTTCCAATGGGTTTTTCAATGTTTTGGAGGCCTCTGCTTTTCGAGCTTCCGACGCTCCAAGACGGCCCACGAAGCCCCCAAGATCGCCCCAAGACGGCCCTAGAAGCCCCCAGGAGGGCCCCAAGATGGCCCAACAGGGACCCAAGGCGACCCAAGAGTCGCCCAAGACGGTCCAAAAGGGCCCCAAGACGGCCCCAAGAGGGGCCCAAGAGGGGGAATACGAACCAAAAATCTGAGCCTTCTGCCTCAAGAGGCGCTCAGGAGGCCTTTAATAGGCCCCCCGAAGGCCCTAAGAGACCCCCAAGAGGGCCCCCACGAGGCCCCAAGAGGCCCCCAAGGCTCCCCCAAGAGATTCCCAGACAGCCCTCCACAGGCTTCATAACTGCCTCCAGGAGGCCCCCAACGACCATCCAAGAGCCCCCAACACAACAACCCAGGCAAGGTGGCGGGATGGGCCAACCCCAACTGTCTTTAGTTACGTACTTATGTTGTGTATGTGTTGACTGCCACATGTTATTATGGATTGTTGCATTTGTTTATGTCTACATGCACATGTTAACCACCGTGGATCCCAAACCGTGTGGCCTTAGCAATTTACGGTGTGCAATATGCGTGGAGCAAATCTGTACTGTGCCATCTACATGGTGAGATATATGCTGTGCAACTCATGTCGCGCAACCGGTTTTACGCATCGATGCGGTCCAATCTATACGTTTTCCCCCAGCACAAGGCGCCACCACCTTCTCGTTTCTTTGTCCGTGTCCGGGAGAGCGCGATTGCAGGAACAAGCAAGCCATGCAGGAGGGAAGAATGAGACTCGAGCATGGGACCAAAAGGAGGAGCAGCGGCAGGAGGCAGCAGGAGGAGGAGGAGGAGGAGGGGGAGGGGCAAGGGGCGCAGAGCGACGACCTCCTGCGGCCCCAAAAGGCCACTTATATAAAGGCAAACAGCGCACCTCCTCCTCCTCTTCCGAGTTCCTCCTCCTCCTCCTCCTCCTCCTCCTCCTCCTCCTCCTACGGCAACTCAGGAGGGAGGAGCGAGGAGGGAGGGAGGGAGAAGCGCGAACGCTGGAAAGCAGCGGACAAGGGCGAGCAAAAGCGATAGAAAATGCTCTCGCAGTTCTGTCGACCCCCTAAATGGGAGAGGGGACAGAAAGAGGAGAAAGGAGGTCTCACAAGTCGGCACACCCACTACAATATACTAGCCGGCCGCTCTGCGGTTGATCGGGAGTTTCTGTATATAGAAGAAGGTGCGTGCGCTTGTTGGCGAGGGTGATGAGGTCCTCCTCCTCCTCCTCCTCCTCCTCCTCCTCCTCCTCCTCCTCCTCCCATCCTTCTCTTGCCTCCGTCTGTCCTCCTCCACCCCGCAGCTCCATCATCTTCCTCCTCCTCCTCCTCCTCCTCCTCCTCCTCCTCCTCCTCCTCCTCCTCATTCCTCCTCTGGGCACCTCCCCCGGGGCGCGGATCCACCGGATCTGTCCGGATCTGTCCGGAAACGGTGCCGGATGCCGCTCTGGGCTCCTCTGGGCACCTCCCCCGGGGCCGGTTTTGTGAGGATGTCTCAAGCGAGGGCGCCGGTTTGGGATTCGTCACCGGATCCAGCGGATCGGATCTGTCCGGAAACGGTGCCGGAGGCCGCTCTGGGCTCCTCTGGGCACCTCCCCCGGGGCCGGTTTTGTGAGGATGTCTCAAGCGAGGGCGCCGGTTTGGGATTCGTCACCGGATCCAGCGGATCCAGCGGATCCAGCGGATCTGTCCGGAAACGGTGCCGGAGGCCGCTCTGGGCTCCTCTGGGCACCTCCCCCGGGGCCGGTTTTGTGAGGATGTCTCAAGCGAGGGCGCCGGTTTGGGAGGGCGCCGGATCCCGGAACGGTGCCGGAGGCCGCTCTGGGCTCCTCTGGGCACCTCCCCCGGGGCCGGTTTTGTGAGGATGTCTCAAGCGAGGGCGCCGGTTTGGGATTCCAGCGGATCCAGCGGATCCACCGGATCTGTCCGGAAACGGTGCCGGAGGCCGCTCTGGGCTCCTCTGGGCACCTCCCCCGGGGCCGGTTTTGTGAGGATGTCTCAAGCGAGGGCGCCGGTTTGGGATTCGTCACCGGATCCAGCGGATCCACCGGATCTGTCCGGAAACGGTGCCGGAGGCCGCTCTGGGCTCCTCTGGGCACCTCCCCCGGGGCCGGTTTTGTGAGGATGTCTCAAGCGAGGGCGCCGGTTTGGGATTCGTCGGATCCACCGGATCCACCGGATCTGTCCGGAAACGGTGCCGGAGGCCGCTCTGGGCTCCTCTGGGCACCTCCCCCGGGGCCGGTTTTGTGAGGATGTCTCAAGCGAGGGCGCCGGTTTGGGATTCGTCGGATCCACCGGATCCAGCGGATCTGTCCGGAAACGGTGCCGGAGGCCGCTCTGGGCTCCTCTGGGCACCTCCCCCGGGGCCGGTTTTGTGAGGATGTCTCAAGCGAGGGCGCCGGTTTGGGATTCGTCACCGGATCCAGCGGATCCAGCGGATCCACCGGATCTGTCCGGAAACGGTGCCGGAGGCCGCTCTGGGCTCCTCTGGGCACCTCCCCCGGGGCCGGTTTTGTGAGGATGTCTCAAGCGAGGGCGCCGGTTTGGGATTCGTCGGATCCAGCGGATCCACCGGATCCACCGGATCTGTCCGGAAACGGTGCCGGAGGCCGCTCTGGGCTCCTCTGGGCACCTCCCCCGGGGCCGGTTTTGTGAGGATGTCTCAAGCGAGGGCGCCGG